CGGCAAAGTCCATAAACGCACGTTTGATGGCGTACAGTACGGACATTGCGGTTTTTGCCACTCTCGAACAGTGGGCGGATGGTTTTAGGGAACTCGTCGTAAGCACACCAAGGTCCCTTTGGGCTTCGACCTCTTGTAGGGCTGCACCGCCCAGAAAGTAGCCTCTTGTGCTTGCGGATCTGGCTGTGTTGCCTAGGCGAAGTATGCTATATTTGGCAACGTTGAACCGCAGGAGCCAACGGTTTGACCACTCCTCCAACCGATTCAGGTTCATCTGCAGTCTGTCTTCATCGGCAGGACCCCGAATTACACTCCATATCTTCATGTCATCCGCAAACATTGCTACTTCGCAGTCTAAATCTCTTGCGGCATCGTCCACGTAGATAAGGAACAAAATGGGTCCCAGAACTGAACCCTGGGGGGCACCACTATCGACCATAGCCGGATCTGCTTTTCCCCGACCGACGCACACAACCTGCTGTCGACCCACAAGGAAGTTTTCGATCCATTTAAGGAAGTTGCCACCGATCCCTATTTTTTCAGCTTATGTAAGAGTCTTTGGTGCGGCACAGTGTCGAAAGCCTTCTGGAAGTCGATGAAGGCTATGTGGACCGCGTGCCTGTCGTCGAGAGCTCGGGTCCAGCTCTGGAGAGATTGCAGCAGGTTTGTCGTGCAGGATCTTCCTGCTCGGAACCCATGTTGGCATTTCGATAGCAGGCCGTGAACTTCCAGGAATTGCATCAGTTCAGTCTTTATGATCCTTTCCACAACTTTGCAGAGAATGCATGTCAAGCTTATGGGCCGGTAATTTGTCGTCGCTGCCCTGTTACCTCCTTTGTGTAGCGGAGTAATATGCTCCAGCTTCCAATCGACAGGAAGTGTTCCAGTGTCAAATGACGTTTGAAAGAGCATCGACAAAGGCACAGAGAGCTCACTGGCAAGTTCCTTCAGAAGCTTGGGTGGAATCTCGTGTGGTCCTGGCGACTTCGATCCGTTCAATGCCTCTAATTCTCTTCGGACAATGCCTTCTGAGAAGAGTATATCATTGACGCTTGGAGTCGGCAGTTCTTCTGTGGAGGGAGGAAGGAACCTTGCCTCGTTTGTGTAGACTGATTGGAAAAACCGTGAAAAATACGCAGCTTTATCCCTACTATCAGCGATCTCAACGCCATTAGTAGTCTTTATCAAAGGGATTTGATGTCTGTTCCTTGTAGTTCGTCGGAGGTAGCTGTAGAGCAATTTTGGGTTCTGCGTTGCTTTTTGTAGCAAGTTCTTCTCGAATTCCCGCCGCGTCTGCATTATCAGCTTCCTCAGTTTGTTCCTCTGTGTCTTGTAGGTTTTGAAGCATTCAGCTTGTCTAGTGACGCAGTATTTTCTTCACAATTTGTGCTTCCTGTTGATTTCTTTCTTGAGGTTGCTATTTAGCCACCCAGGGCGTTTGTTCAGTCTTACACTAGTCAGTGGGCAGTGGTTGTTGATGAGCTGCAGAAGGACATTCTTGAACAGCTCCCAGTCATCGTTGGCACTTCCCGTAAACAATGAACCCCAGTCAAGACCGGATAAGTCTGCCCTCATCTGATTGAAGTCGCCCCGCCAAACATCACGCCTTTTGTGGTCTGGAGTATGTGAAATGGAGAATAACGAATAATCCCACATAAGCACTACGTGGTCACTTCGGCCAAGGGGCGGCATGGAGACGATCTCGTCTATGCTGTCTGGTGTTTTCGTAAAGACCAGATCCAGGCAGTTTGCCCTTTGTCCTTCACGTGTTCTCGTTGGGAACATTACATGTTGTGTGAGACACGCATGTAATGTTTTGCTCAACAGGCGGTAATCGAATGCCGATTTTGGACCTGACGCTTGGAGGGTATTCCAGTTTGTTCCTGGTGCGTTGAAGTCGCCCATGAGCATGATGTTAGGTCGACTGGAAAATTTCTCCAACTGCTCCAATAGTTGAGCGTCGGCGATTCGGTCTGTCCTAGGTGGTCGGTAGACAGTGAGGACATCGAGACACGGGGAACCGGTAGCCTTGATGGTCAACCAGATAGCTTCCGTACTGCACGCAAACTTGGCGGTGTTATCCGACACCGCCAGACCGTCATTCACTTACACAACGATACCACCACCCTGACGATGTTCCCTGTCCCTCCGATAAATTTGGTATCCAGGCAAGGCTACTTCGTTATCGCTAATATTCCCGGACAGCCAGGTCTCAGTTACTGCTAAAACATCTGGAGACAGCTCAGCAAGGCAAAGTTTTAGTTCGTCTAGTTTCGATATGAGGCTTTGGGCATTCGTGTACAAGCACCTCAGTTTAGCACCAGCCGAATTTCCCGTTGCATTTGTTACTGCTGTGAGCATTACTTCGTTATCGCGGACGTCGTGTTCTCTAGGCTCTTCCGTTACCTGATTGGTTCCATTTACATGCCTTGTTTCAGTCAGATGACTGGACGCTACGGGCTCACTTGTGTTGGCGCCTTGATCAGGTGGTTCAACGAAACGGCATATATTTCCGAACTACCTTCCCCTTGAAGATAGCCAGATTGTGTTCGCCATCCTTCAGTCTTGATTTTAACTCCAAGACAAGTTCCCGGTTTTTGAAGTCCTAAATATTTCGCCTTTCGTGGAACTTGGAGATCTTTGACTTCGGTTTTAATTTGAATTAACTGCGAGTTTATCAATCCGGATATGTTTTAACAGCAGGCTGAAGTGTTTAAATGAGAGATAAGAAGAAAAAGGTCGGGGAATATAAAATTTGCGTGACTGTACGTGCTCATCCGAATGAACCGAAACCAACGAAGAGGTGGGGGATGGCGATGTTGATACGAGATGGCATCCACCACGTCAGAGGTGAGTCTTCGCCATGTAGGAAATTCGGTTGTGAAATACTCAGTTGTTACCTGCAAGTGCCAAACCATCCAAGCCTCCATATAGCCCTGGTTTACACATGGGGGGGACGGCGAACGAATGCGAACGATGTATTCATCACCGAGAAAAAAGAAATTTGTCAAAACAAGCACATGAAGCTGCTTGACGATTTTAACTGTCCAGACATCGAATGGGCTTTGATGCATTGCACACGATCAGGAAACTCCGTTGAACAGAAATGTATTCAACTGATCACTGATCAGGCCCTTACCAAACACGTTAAAATGGACACTCGATTCCGAGAGGGATAGCAGTCAAAATGCTTGGATGTCCTCATCACTAAGGACGATAATTGCATTCTCGGATTGGTCAGAAACACACACACCCATTGGCTGAAATGACAACTCTATTCTTGCTCGGACGTATAGTCATTTTTCTGTCCCCGAAATTCGAGCTGCTGAGGAGAGAAATGTATGGAAATGGAATTACCCCCGAAAGAAAAGTCCGCTACAGAACGTGAACTGGAATGCTACACAAGCACCTGACACAGAAAGCGATTGGCTCTTCTTCAAGCCCGTAATGCAGCACTTGGTAGAGAGCTGTTGTCCACTTAAGAGGGAACAGTGCACTTCCCAACCAGAGTGGGCGGCGTCATAAATAAATAAGAACCTTAGATTGAAAACGAGACGTTGAAAAAAGTACGCCAGATGTCAAAAACGAGGGCATTTCAATGATTTTAAAACACAGAGGAATGTACGTCGGAATCGGCTGAGGAGGGTAACAACAGAATTTGAATCGAAATACTCCAAAATATACCACAAAATTCCACAAACTATTTGGATAAGTGAATAAAGCGAAACGCAACCAGGACTGTATTCCCTGTCTTAAAGATTGCCAAGGAAATACGTTGTCCGATAATCCAGAAAAGGCTAACCTATTATTCGATCTCTTTGCGTCGCTGTATGCCGCGGAGCCTGCTTTTGATTAAAGAATTTACTTCCCAAATGTCAAATCAAACAATACATTTGGCACGATGGCCTTCACAACCAACACGGTAAGGAAAACTCTGGGTCAACTACAACCCACTAAATCGCCTGCTCCGGACGGCGAACTCGCAAAAGTCCTGAATGATCCCTCAGACCAACTGGCCTCTCCGTTATCCAAGATCTTCTGAACTTTAATGGAGACCGGAATAAAGCAACTATATTTGCCTCATATAAAAAGGTGGCGAAAGAACAGCCCAAATATTTTCAGACCAGTGAATCTCACAAGTATCTGATGCAAAGTGATGGAGAAGGTAATTAAGACGATGCTGATGCGACATCTTGAGAAAAACAACTTGCTCAGTTAGCATCAGCATGCCCTTCGAAGTGGTCGATCCTGTCTCACTGACCTGCTACTATCCATGGTGAGCTGGGTGAAATCAATCGACATGGGCTTATCAGCCGACGCCGTGTACATCGACTTCAGAAAGGCTTTTTACAGTGCTTCGCACAGTCGACTTATATTAAAACTACGTCACGCAACATGTCCTGTTTCGAACTAGATCTCGTGGAAGGCAACAGGCCAGTTGTCTGGACCTCGTTTTTACCAAAGATCCTGACAGTATAGACGAGGTGTACTACCTACCCCCGCTCGGTCGAAGTGATCGTGCAGTGCTTTTATGGGAGTACATGCTGCATTCTGAACCGTGTACAAAAGACAATACGAGACCAAATATATGGAAAGGGGACTTTCGCCAAATGAGAGCTGAGGCATCACAAATAGACTGGGATGTTCTCTTCTCCGGAAACGTTAACGAGGACTGGAATTTATTCAAGGATCGTTTACTGCATCTAATGAAGAACCACTGTCCCTTATCAAAGCCTAGGACATCCAACCGCCCTCAGTGGCTAACACGAGAACTCAAAAGGGAGATCAACAAGAAAGGAAGATTATGGAAGAAATTTCGCGAGAACAACAACAATGCAGCGTTTACAGAATACAAAGTTCAAAGAAATAAGGTGAAAAGTCTGATTTTTAGGAGGCGACGGGATTTTGAGAGTAATTTGCTCCACCGAGCCGTTAAAAATCCGAAATTGCTCTACAGCTATTTGCGGAAAAGCACACGTAACAGGAATCCCATTCCTGTTATGAGGGGTGATGACGGCTTGGAGATCTCGGACAGTACAAATAAGGCTGAGCACTTTTCTCAATTTTTCCGATCCGTTTTCACAAGAGAACCAGACTTTACCCCATCTAATTCTGAGAACGTGAGAGATCCCACTATCGAAAATATTGTGTTTCGAGAAGAAGCGATTTTGGAAGAACTGAAAAGCTTGAAGGAATGTAAATCTCCCGGTCCGGACGAGATTCCAGCAAAGCTGCTCTTGGAGCTTGCCCAACAGCTGGCCAAGCCACTATCCTTTCTGTGCCAGAAATCGTTTGATGTTGGAATTCTTCCCACAGACTGGAAGACGGCCCACATTACACCCCTTTACAAAATCGGTAGTCGTGCTCAGGCGACAAACTACAGACCCGTCAGTGTGACATCAATCTGCTGCAAAGTGATGGAGAAAATCATTAAAAAGGAGTTGATGGCTTACTTGGAAACCCACAACCTCTTGTCCAATGCACAATATGGTTTCCGTAGGGGAAGATCATGTGTTACGAACTTGCCATACACAATGCAAAGTTGGACACGAGCACTGGACGCAAAACACACCGTGCATGTTGCCTATATTGATTTCCGGAAGGCGTTTGACAGTGTTCCGCACCAGCGTCTCCTACACAAGTTGAGAATTATGGGCATCGGTGACAAACTTCTCAAATGGATCGAAAATTTCCTTGTCGGCCGCTCCCAAATCGTCTGCGTAGAACAACAGCAATCAAGGTGCACATTCATAGAGAGTGGGATCCCACAAGGCTCGGTGCTCGGACCAACCCTCTTTCTCTTGTTCATCAATGATTGTGTAGATGGGTTGGACTGTGATTGTGCCATGTTTGCGGACGACATAAAAATCTGGAAAGTCGTCCAGAATGCTGCCGATGAGACCAACTTCCAAGAAGATCTTTGTCGATTGGACGAGTGGTCCAGCAGATGGCTCTTGTCCTTCAATTTGAACAAATGCACCATTCTGCGCCTCGGAAATCAGACCCCTAGTACGCGGCAATACCATCTGAACGGAATGCCACTCCGAGAAGCAGAAACTCAGAAAGATCTCGGAGTTTGGGTTGCAGACAGCCTAAAGCCTTCTACACAATGCTGTAAGGCGGCCAAGACCGCAACCTCTATGCTATATGCCATCAAGCGGGCATTCGTAGTTTTCGATGAAGACTGCTTCACCAAAGTCTTCGGCACGTTTATTAGGCCCCATCTCGAATATGCAATTCAAGCCTGGAGACCGTGGACGCATCAGGATTACGATCTGCTCGAAAGGGTGCAGAGACGAGCAACAAAATTAATAAGAGGTCAAAGTGCACTGCCATACGAGATCCGCTTAATTAACCTTAATCTCTATCCTCTGAGTTATAGGCAGTTGCGCGGAGACATGAAACAAACTTTCCGTATCGTGCGCGGCTTGGATTGTGCCCTTCGGCGCGATAACTTTTTCCAACTCGCCACTACAACTCACCTCCGGGGACATCCCTTCAAGCTACGTGTGCCACAGGGTAGACTGAATGTGAGAAAATATTTCTTCTCCAACCGTGTCGTGGAACCGTGGAATAACATGCCCGAGACGGTTGTTATGTCTCAATCTGTGGAGACATTTAAATGTCGTCTTGACAGGTATATGCTGCAGCAACAAGCGGACTATGTGACTTTTTAGCCATGTGACCAGTGACATATGTGAATCAATGTATGCATTCACTTAATGCTGTAATTTTTGCATGTTTATCGATTTTTATGTACAAATAGGGAGTTCAAAGGCGCAAGCCTATTTCCCTCAAATACACTGACTGACTGACTGACTGAAATGAACGTGAATGGACATTTGCTGAAATGGTTAGCCGACGTTCTTACGGACAGATCTCAGCGTGTGTGTATCGGTAACGCTAAATCGGAATGGGCATCCGTTCACTAAAGCGTTCCGCAGGGAAGCGTTCTGGGTCCAATTCTGCTTTCAATTTATGTGAACGACTGTCTTAGCTGTCTGAACTGCGAGCGCGTAATGTTTGCCGATGATCTCAAATTGTGGAAATCATTAGAGAAGCCGGAAAATTCGCCACAGTTACAAAAAAATCTGAATTTCTCGTAGCAATGGCGTGATGAGAGGTGTTTTAACCTCAATCCAAACAAATGTCAACTTATCTGATTACGTTCGAGCAACAGGAGGCCATTGTGATTTGAATCTCACTACTCTATAGGAGGGCTAGACTGTGCTCTTCAGTTTGGCGATTTTATCAAACTGGCGCAAATGACTCAGCTTCGAGTCCACAAAAAACAAAGTGATGCTATAATATGCCAAACTCGAATTGCGGGCCAAATTCTTCTCCCACCGGCTGGTTGAAGGATGGAACAAATCGCCGAAATGCATTGTGTTGGCGGAAAACGTTGAGACCTTCAAAAAAGACCTGATAAATTTTTGCTTGACGGTCAAACATTTACTCGATATCAATGAATAGCATGGATGTTTTGTAAATATGCGCAAGTTCTTCATCTGTCTATATGTAAATATGGTTTTCAAAGGCTTTGCCTTTATCCCTTAGATAGTGAATTATACAGAATTAAACTAAATTCTTGTTCTTAACTTTCGAACTCGTGAAGGGGTCCATCGTCAGAGATAGATAGATAATTTTTTATTAAAGACCCGTCGGGGTCCTATCAAAGCAACTGAATAAGTGAGTTTTGGGATGAGCTAGCTAACCATCGATCAATGGTGCAAATTGGAGGCGACTGCACAGGGCTCTGCACGCTGGTGACACATCCATAAATCGATTGACTGGGCTATAATCCGAGGCCCAGGCTGGCGCAACTATCGGATTTTCTTGTCTCCGGCGTGGAAGATTGTGTTGTTGGCCACGTAGTTTAATTCATGACTGACTCCGTACCTGTAGGTGGTCACATACGATAATCCGTCACCTCGTCACGCAGACAGCTACTGGTTGTGTATTCGCAATCCGGGCTGTGTCCAGTTTGTTCTGCGTAGTTACAAGGACAGTTTTCGAATGGGATGGGATGCACTACTCTAGGTTGCTCCACAGGCTTTAACCAGTCGTTAATATTCATGACCTTGCAGCGCATGGCGACTTTGGGACAGTGTGCAATACCAACACCTTGCACCACAGCACCGTGCTTGATCGATTATAAGACTTCCTCAATGTATTGCAGATAATGCCATATTGTCGTTCGGTTTGATGTTTGGGTCCTCTGTAGGTGATGTTGACTTTGGATCGCATTTCATTATAGGCGTTCAGAAGAGTGGAGCAAGACCAGAATTCGGAAAGCTGATGCGCATTTACTGGAATATTTCTTGCCGGGCCGCTTGTTTTGGGATTATGAATCAGAAGACGAGGATTTTCATAAGTTGATCGCAATTTTAGTAGTCAATCGATGCGCAACGACATGTGTTTTTCGGCGAGTTTTAAAATGCATGTTCATACTAGTTTATGCCTGTATTTTTTGTAATCCTTTTGAAAACCTGCCTAGTTTATTTTTGTAACCTTTCGCAGATTGGCAGCATGTTTTGCTCAAAATTTTCATCAAAAACCTTTGTAACTTGATAACGGTTCGGGAACTCAGTTATGCTATTATAAGCGCCATCCCAATATTTTCACAACAAACAGGCAACGGATTGCATCACAGCTTTGACTAAGTTAAGCAAAGCAGGGCTAACACGACCTTGAAACTCTGCCCTCATTGGGTGGCTTGAGTAGTTGGGTAGAGCCCGAAGAACGGGATTCTGGTTCAAATTTTGTTGTGCATGTTTTGAGAAAATGTCGTTTCTTACGAATGCTTACGTCACTTTGGCTATGGCCGTGATTAAAATTCTTGTTTATTCATATGAATACTTGACAATCCCAGTGTATTACTTATTTCGGAAAACGAACTATTTTATGACATTTCCGGAAGATGAGGATTCCTGCTTCCAAAAGTTCAATGCTGCTGAGTCGCGTACTCTTAGCATGCCTGTCCGCCAAGACGATCCTGCCTCTCCCTGGCGAGCCGCGGAGTACATTGATCATCTGGTTACGGATGCTCTCCCTGGTTGCAAGACTTTGCCTGACCTTTGGTTGCGGACCGTCAAACTGTGGCCGAATAAACTAGCTCTGGGGACCAGGCAGGTTTTAAAGACCGATTATGAGGTTAGTTGCAACCGTTGCCCCCTCTCCCCCACTTGCGTGGGCTATCTGACAAACGTGGCTTATGATTACCCATTATTCAATGCACACAACATAGTTTTGCCTTATGTTGATTTACAGCATCACTCCCTCATGAAGCCGTAGTACCCATAGGCTCGCAAGATACAGTTGATAAGCTACTCCCGCACCACAGAAATTTTTTGGTGGACCGATGCTTTTATAATTCAAAGAAGTTTTAGTTTGCAGCTGCCACGCTGGCATCTATCTGAAATCTCGCGCCAGATTTTTCTTTTCTGGTATTCCAAAACCAGAACAAGGGTGTTTTAGTGATTACTTACCAGCAGCAAGTTTATGCACACTAGGATTCAGTCTGGGCCGTATGCCCGCTGCTAAATCACCCTTAATATGCGGCCTTGCTAGCATGTCTGTGATCAACCTTCTAGAGCCATCAACCTGGAGCGATATGATCTTGCTACGAAAATATTACTCCTTAAACAGGTCCTGCCAAATGGAAAAAAACTAGTCAAACAGACTATGGGAGCTTACTTCTGGGAAACCTATATCGAGGCAGAACAACGTGTCTCTCAGTTAGCGGCCGGTCTCCGCGATCTCCTTGGTCCCAACACTGCTGATCAGAGTCCCCTCATCATCTTTAGCGAAACCAGGTGTGAGTGGCTGTATGCTGCGGAGGCCGCATTTCGCCTAAACCGCCCTCTGGCTACTCTGTATGCTACACTTGGTGACGAAGCCGTTGCTCATGGACTTGAGGAGACCCAGGTAAACACCGTTGGTTTCACTTCACAATTAAGATAAGGTGTTTTCCACGCCAGGCATAAAAGTGTGGGTTTTCCTACTGCAGGTGACTTCACGCTGAATTCCATACGGCACATATTTTCATGTACTCATAGCCCCACAACCCGAACCCTCGTAACCCCCTTGAACTTAGAGCAAGGCCATCTGTAATGCGGGAAGTCCAGTTTCCCCGTGCCCTACCGTTTTCTAAAGTAGATAACATTGTCTCGGATTTTTTTTGGTCCGTGTTCCTGGTGCGTCTCATGCCTCCCATTTGTTACCTACCTGCCTGTCGATTTTGACATGCTCCCTTATCTGTGAGACTTATTCTTGTAGTTATTCGCAACGACTTATACGATATTAATTTATCTTAGGTTTGGATGCTAGACGTAAACACTCGCAGTCTTCTTTAACTGTTACTGTCGTCTTTTGGACTACTTGTGGGTTTTGTTTCGAGATGCCAGTTCACTTGAACTCTTTTCTGTAATGCTTTTTTAAGTCTGAATTGCAGTCGTGTTGTATGGGTTAGTTTTAGCATAACTGCAAGATTAAGCCTCTGCACACTATCCTCGGCTTGAAACTTTGAGCGCATTTGTGGCTCTTACTCAGACAACCGTCGCGCCGCAGATTCGCTTCCCCTATGTTGGTGTTATTAACTGACGCAGACGAAATCCACTTGTGTCTCATGTCATGCTGCACTACTGGTGCACAATATTCCTCTTCCCTACCTGTAGAAATACACGGTCCTCTACTCCCACTTTGTGGTAGGAAAACATGATTATTCACCATTTTATTATTGTCATAAAGGGTTTGGCTTTTACATCCTGCTTCCGACTTATAAATTTAGTTCTGTGCACTTACGACGCTGTCATTGAACTAGCAATAGCCGCATTGTTCAAATATCGTTTTCTGGAATTTTTTTGCGCATTTTATTCCCTTACGAACGCTTGAATTTCCGCCCATCTCATCAGGCCAGAGTTGTCTTCACCAGTGACGAGCTGCTTTCCAGAGTGATCAAAGTTGTTAAATCTTCTCCTAATGTAAAATACGTGATTTACTTCTCCAACGGAGTTTTTCAAAAGCAACTGGGTCTGAAAATCAATGATATGTCGCGATTCTCTGACACAGCGCGCAAAAGCGTTGAGGAGGGGCTAAAGTCCGTACCAGAGCACGTACAGATCTTCGACATCCTCGAAATGGAAGAACATGGCAAAAAGGTCATCGATAAAGCACCCACGTCTTGCCTTGGAGACTTCAAAAAGCCCTACGTCAACTGGCAGCCACCGGCCGCGGAACGGGCGAAGCCGGAGGATTTGGCAGTAATCATGTACACAAGCGGTTCGACAGGTGAGTCAGTTCTTGTATTTTGTGCCCATCATAGGCGGCGAAGATACCCATAGACCGTCCCCTGACTCGTGACCAGCATGAATCGTCATTGGAATGAACGGGACAGTGACTTTACACGTGGTACCCCAGCGGGCATTCTTGTGGGTGATTAGCTGCTCGAGGTAGCCGACTGTTCGCCCCGTCTCGGGACTTTTCCATGTTGCCGGCAGGATAGAATGACCGAGCCATGAACCAAACCTGTCTGTGTTCTCACCGCACTCTTTGTCGCATAAAGATTCCGGCGTACGAGGTCACAGCCGGAGCCACGCTGATTTGCGACTGTGAAGCCTGTTTTTTGCCATTTAATGGTAGTCGATGAACATCACTCTCTCGGGCGGTAACGGTGACT